AAAAAAAAAAAAAAAAAAAAAGTACAAAATTGTTATTACCATTTACAAAAAGATTTTTTTTTTTTTCTATTTCTATTTTTCCTTTTTGCTCCTTTTCATTTTACCCTTGAGCCCCTAACTTTTCTTATTTATACATATTGCAATCACTTGGAGTCTTATAACTCTTTCACACAAAGATTTTACTTCTCTCACCCTCTCTCTTTAGCCAATTTCTATTGAGTCCTCTTCCAATTTCTTGCCTGAATTTAAGGGTGAAAAAAAGGAACATTCTTTTTTATTTTTATTTTTTATTATTATTTTTTTTTTCATAATGGGTTTGATTGGTAAGAGCTTGGGTTGGTTACAGAAAGTGGGCAAGAAACAGAGCAAAGGCTTGTACTTGAGAATAAGAGCTGAGATTAAAAGGGCTGTGAAAAAAGGGAGCAAAAAGCAGGTGAAATTCCAATATGATCCCCATAGCTACTCCTTGAACTTTGATGATGGGTTTGAATATTATCAAGAAAATGTGGATTTTAAGGGAGTAAAATTCAAGGGGTGGCAAGAAAGGACTATATGGGTATACATTGTTTTCACTTAGTTATGGAGAAGCCTTTGTAGGCTGCTTTGTTGGTTGCTCAAAATCTCCTTTGAAAAAATATGAAGTTTTTCCTTTCTTTTTACTTAAGCATGTTATCATGTAATTGGGGCTTCAAGGTATGTAAATTAGGATTTGGAATGTGTGGGAGTGTGTGTTTTCAGTGTAACATTTTTACTTATTGTATAGCAGAAGTATATATTTTTGTTTCACAAGTATGATGGATCGATCGGCTTAACAGTTAGATCGCGTCCGACAAAAACTCGTCACATATTCATCGTGAAAGCAATAAAAATAGTGTTAGGTAACTGTTAGGTTAGATCAGCCAAACAGTTAGACCGTCTCCGACAAAAAATTGTCACCCATTCGTCATGATGAATAAGCTAAAACAGTAAAATTGGTGTTGGGCAGGTTTAACGGTTAGTCTTTTTCTTTTTGTATGTATAAGCCAATCCACAAACTAATCAAGATGGGCAAAACCATAAAAAGAAAAACAACTCCTACTTGTTATTAGAGACTTGGGATGCAAAACAGTTTTGACAGTCATAATCATTGTAAGAACATCCAGAGGCTAAAACCACAAGCAGTCAACAATCACTCGATATGAAGAAAAAAATAAAAAGTGCTTTTAGATACAGATGAATCCCGGCTATTTTAACATTTCGAGTTCTTTTTTTTTTTGTCCCCTTATAATTTAAATTACTTGAGCTCTCAAGCAGCAGGGTCTTCGAGGGTTGCAGTGGATAAATCGGTAATTCGAGGATAAGTGGCTTTCTCGTCCAGCTGATTCTGAACCCATATAAGCATTTTCAACAGGCTTGGAAGCTTTGGATCTGTTTGAAGTGTTAAAATAAAAACACCACACAATTTCGGTTATTCTTGTACTGTAGTAATAGTATTTCTACCTAATAGTCTCAATTTACAGCTGAAACAATAACAGAATGCAAGAGAAAGGATAGGAAAAAGTAAAAATGACTGGATTATGGGTATTGTCTGGGTCCAAATTCACTTAATTTGCATATTAAGTGATAAAACTGTGTGACAAAAGAATCAAAATGAACATCTTAACTTGGTAAGCAAACCAAGCTCAACATTTTAAAAAATCATCTAGAGCGTAGACATAAATGGTGTGCTTGTTTATAAATATATTGGTATTTGATTGGTTTTTGTTTTATTAACCATTTTAAATTTGAAAAAGTTAGTATGAGATTTTTAAATTTGTATATAACCAATGCTTAAAACAAAATAATTAAAATTGATTTTATGTTAAAGTAGGAGATAGATGATCGGAAGTGATAAGTAGTTAAAATTATGTGAGTGGATGAACAGGGAATTAAAGTAGATGTGATGTATACGAATGATTTATTGATAATACTAAAAATAGTGGGTTGAGTTAAGATTATTATTATTATTATTATTATTATTATTATTATTATTATTATTATTATTTATTATTTTTGAGTTTTTTTTTTTTTTTTTGGTAAACAAACAAGCCCAAACTAAGTCCCAAAAAAAAAAAAAAAATCATCATAAACGAGTAGGCTGCCAGCAAGACAATTGGAGAAGCAGCAAAACAAGACATCTCCTCAAGAATATTGGTCAACTAGAATTAGCTTAGATCTAAAAATTCTATCTTTGGATAAAGCTTGCTATTTATCATCAAATTATAGAACCTTTTACCCGATCTCTTATTTTTGTACAGTCTGGTTCGTAATCAATTTAATAGGTGTGCTTGTCAATAACATGCATGAGTTATAGTCGGATATTCTTTCCATGAGCCCATTTAAGAATAGGTTCCCGCAAGTACTTACAATTTGTATCTGCGTAAATTTATACTTTTGTTGGAATTAAATTCACATAAAGTACAACAGGGACTAACCTTTTTCATGGCTTTGACTGGTGAGGATAGCTGCATTCACCTCGCTAGCTGTCTTAAGGCGTTGAGAAATATCGAGGAGATCGCCAACAGGGCAATTGGCCACATCTTCAAATGCGAGCAGTGCAACAGTTCTCTCCAACTCTTCTAGAAAGCCTTGCTGAATTTATCGAGAGCTAAAATGAGTGCTTATATATGTGCTGTGGGATGATAAAAATTTATAATAACAATGACAAAGGAAAAAAAAAACCCTGATAATTGATATCTGGCCTGATTACAGAAACCCGGAAATATATCAAGATTACAAGTGCCCCCTTAACAAGAAAAAGGATCATTGGAGCTCATTGTAATTTTCAAAAGATAATCAGGGTATTGGTTATAAACTCAACAA